TGCTCGCCAGGATTCTCTCGAGCTGGTTTTACCTTAACAAATTCTTTCAAAAGACCTCTTCTTATCAGGTCCTCGCTGGCATCCTTTAAAGCTCGGCAGTCAATTGCGTAGTGCCTGACATCCTTGTGGTATCGGCAATATTTATGCCGATCTCTTCTACCTGGTGCCCCCCTCATCCTTTCTAGAGCAGGCAGCCTCTTTGCCCCTCGGGATACTTCATAGATGTGGACGATGTCTTGAGTGAGGGGAGTGTACTCTGCATACCACGGGAAAGGTTGTCTGTCTTCGCGGTTATCTACTCTCTATTTCTTTTGAAATCCATTGCGATCTCTGTCACTACGGTCTTGGCCCCCACGCTTATCTGAGGAGCGATTCTATCTTCTATTCCCCTTCCCCACCATTCCCACCACACCCATCGAGCTTCTGGCTAATGTTGCTAACAAGCTCTTTACTCGCTGGTATTTCGCGACCATTTATTAGAATTTGGCCAGGCTAACATGATCTTCACTTTGGAGCTCTTTCCACAACTCCGTCTTAGGTTTGATCCCTGTGATCAGTAAAGTCCGAATGAATTCTTCGAGGGCTTCAGTGACATTTGCTTGCTCATTCTAGAACCTTGTTTAATACGAGGTCAGTGATTCATCCCGCTCTTGGCAAATGTTGCTTAAGTAGCTGAGCAACATTGCAAACTGTCTCTTCATCTGGAATAGTTGTAGGTACATTGTGGAGAATTGTTATCAGGAGTTTATGGAGTTTGCCTTAAGCTACTTATATCACGTCTTGGCATCTCCGACTAATGTGACTGTGAAGCACCGACATTTCGCTAAATCACTGACATGGTGTAGCTCCATCAGATCATTAAAGTTATCGAGGTGATCCTGGGGTCCCCTCTCCCGTCGAACTTGCTTTCTAGCACCCTAAACCCTTGTAGGAGCAAGGCTTGGTAAACTTCCTCTGTAAAGAGGGAACTTACTATCTCCACCGCGAAATTGTTCTTGCGAGCTTTTAGACCGTCGAGCATCTTTTGCATGCAATCTAAGTCTTCACTTTGGTTGTCCTGGTTGGCTCTGTTAAGTTGTACCTCGAGCAAATGAGTTCACAAGTCTATTGCGTGCGAACCTCCTCCGGCATGTGCATTGATACGCAAGGTCGAGTCATGATGGCTGGGTTGGTAGGTGTTATCATGCTCGTTAGTACGTTGCTCACAACGTCGGTCATAACCGAAACGTTGGTCATTCTCAGATTGTCGCACATGGCTCGCTTCATGAGGTTGCAAAGATTGATCTTGTCTTGGGCATGGGTTAAAATCAGCATGTTGACTCTGGGGATACCATTTAGGTTCTCGGTTATGTCTGTCGCTTTCGCTTTCCCTTAGAGGCTGCCTCCTTGGTCGCTTCCTGGGGTTTATTTGCCCGCAAGACACATGCTCGTGTGTGGAGTGCTACCTGCGAGGTTGGAGGTGTTGATCACCCCTTGGCGGCGATGAAGCAGACTATCCACCTGTAGAATTCATACTTGTTGGGGTGGCGTTGGCAAAGCGCGGCTGGTCAAGGTTATGGGCAATTGGTTGTTGGTTGTTGGTTCCTCAGCTTATCCACGTTTTGTTGCACCGCCTTGCAAATATTGTCCTGATCATCTCCATCAGCTGGCTGTTCTCGGGATTTGATGTCCTTGCCCCCTGGTTGTTTGCGGCATGCTAATCTGGCAGCATAGGCGGTCAACATCCAGCGTTCTCCTGTGTGTGTGATTAGTAAAAATCAGCAATGAATATGAACAAAATGAATTAAAAACAAAGGGATTTTTAAAGTGGTTCGGCGAGGTTAACAGCCTATGTCATTGAGTTTTTTGTATTTTCGGTGAGAGCTTACAGTGTCATTCTTATCTAAAAAAATACCCCTTCCTCATCATTCAAGGGGGTTTTTTATACAAGATTAGTACAGAGAAAAAGCGAAATTTAGGGGATTACAATCGATCTAAATCGTAATTTTGATACCCTCATGATTTGGTACTGTGATTGTGCAGTGATTGCTGTTGATTGAGTCATTCCTGTAATATCTAGGATCTGAAATAATCTGAAGGTTGATTGAATGATTTCTTAAACTGTCCGTGACTAGCTTATGCTGGATCGAGCTACAGCTCGACGAGCTGATGCTGGGTCGATTAATCATTGTTGCTGAGCTCATTTTGGGTCGAGCTATATCCTCGTGTTTGTCTAAGCTTGGTGGAAAAACCACACACAACATTACCCTACTTTTTTTACTAATAAAAAATTTTCATATGATCAATGTTGATAATTTTTTTTTTTTCTTACCTACATTAATAATCATAGAGAAGAATATTTCTCGATTATGACATGAAACTACTTAATATTTATTACAGAAGATTATGGGACATGAAACCACTTAGTATCGATTAAGAAGAAAAATCTACGAAAAAAAATTAAAAAACATGCATTTATTAATATTAGACTTGTTATAAGATGCGAATTCAATCTAAATCATGGGCCACGTTTTGGGAAAATTTTCAATTAGTTGAAGCATATTAAAATGACATATTTCTTATTTAATGTAAATGCTCCGTCCAACATTTTACACATAAAATATATTTGCCTAATGATGATGATGTTAATGCTCTAACTGTGACTTCCTGGGAAAAGGAAAATTTTAAATAATGTTATGCTCTAGGACTCAGGAGGCAGTTTAGGAATTATGATGTTGATGGTTGTTTAATCTCTATATAGATGATGGTGATTCAAAGGCATTATTGCAGTGGAGTGAAGGTGTACGAAGGTGCACATAAAAGAGAACTAAGAACAGAAGAATTATAGGAACGTGAAAAACTTAATTAATGATAAAGTCATCTATTAGAATTCAAACACTTTAGAATTTTAAAATGATTAATTAATTATTTAGAGATCCCTATAGGCTATAACCATGAAACAAATTAATGTTTAGTGGGAGAAACAAACCAGAAAAAAAACTCCCCGAAGAGAGTTACAACGTATTAGGGAGATAAAAAGTCCAGTCTAATATTTGATTCACATTTATGGGTAATTAATTAATAATAATGAAAATCTATACTAAGTGTACACCTAATCCAACACATATGGTAAGAATCTGCAGTTGGAGTGGCAAGAGAGGTAGCTGGACCACCGAAGTATACCAGGAAGAAAGCTAGAGAGGTAAGAGAAGCAACTTGGTTGCTGAGTATGCTAAAAAAAAAAAAAAAGAAACAAGACAATAGAGAGAAGGCTTTTGCATATTTTATGTACAATTTGTCTTAATTTATACAAGTAGAAATGTAATTTATAAGGAAACAAATAAAGAGGAATTATAATTAAATAATCAATACATACAACTACAAGGCAATAGTATAATTTCAGCAAATTATACTATAATTTGACCATATCAAATCTTCCATTGATTGCGGCACATCATCACTCTATTCTAATGTCAACACATATTAATGTGTTATACAGACAAATTACATATAAATAAATTAATACGATAGGCATATAGAGTGATGTTATTGGCATCCATTTAATTTCTATAATACACCCATAAAATATTTTTAATAAATCCATCATCTAATCACACTTAACTTACATTGACAATTTGGTACATAAACCAAAGTGTCAAGAGATTAAATCCAAGATTGAAGAGGCAAGAATTAGTCACGAGATTAAAATCCAAGGTTGAAGAGGCAAGAATTAGTCACGAGATTAAAATCCAAGTTCATATATTTAGAGTTAAGACAGATATTAGCTGACTGACAATGACAAAAATTATAAATCTATTATCACCTGGAGGTTTCTCAGTTACTTACATCAAAACACAGGCATTACCAAACCAATTAAATTTCTACATTAAAAAATACATCAATCACGCAACAATATTTATTCTCTTGCCCACCACTTTGAATTAAGAGAAACAAACCTAAAATGTCCTTTTTTCTTGGATTAATATTTTAAAGTTCCTTGTGTGAATTTACAAGAAACAAAATTTAAAAAAACAGTCGAAGAAGGGAAAAACCAGAGAGCTTTTGTTTTCGTTTAACTGACTGATACAAAAGAGTAAAGTGCTTTTATGTTGAAGAAGAAGACTAAAGTTAGTGTAAAACAAAACGGTGTAGTTTTTGGCTATATAATTGAGTCAATTTACAGTTTTAGCCTTTTTGACTCACACCTTGTACATAAGATAGATTTTATGGTTTCAAATTCGTCATCATCAAGACTAGGAAAGTTAAACTAAAATATATTTACAGGACCACAAGTTTAAACCTTAAAATTATTTCCACATTAATATTTTAAATACATAAAACATGAAGAAAGTGTGAGAAAATGAATATCAAAAACCTTAAAAAATTGTGAAACCTTTTGCAAGGCTAAGAAAGTAATTGCAGGGTGTTGGATTATTTTACTATTAAAATAATCAAAATCGAACCATATATTAAAATTACTGTGAAAAATAAAAAAAAAAAAAAAAAAAAAAATAAAAAAAAAAAAAAAAAAAAAAAAAAAAAAAAAAAAAAAAAAAAAAAGGCAAACAGTGCCAGCACTGCCGGCCTCAATTTCGTCCGATGTAGCCAAATCGTTAAGCGCAACTATTAGTGCGTCATCACAAGCACTAGGGCCATCGGCCTCTGATTTTCCATTTCTTTTTCTTTTTTTTTTTTTTTAAATTTAGAATTCTAAAACTAAATTCATATTGAAAAAATAAATAAAAAAACTGCAATTCTTCTATTTTTAAACCAAAAAAAAAAAAAAATTGTTCCCTTGTTTTCCTTTAAGAAGAAATCTATAAAATAAAAATCGTGAAGCATGGATTTGTTCCTAAAGCAATAAGTTGAAAGTTAGGTAGCCAAATTAAACTGGGTTTTTTTCGCACTAACATCGGGGAAAATGGAAATCAACCAATAATCACATAATATTCAACTTGAAATCATGTTTTTAGACGACTCAATTCTCAACTTCCATATTTTTTTCATATAAAAAAAATGATTTTTCTTACTCTATAAATTAGTACCATGTAACACTCTAAGGACTTCAGAACCCAACCCACAAGCCAAACTAGCCTCCTCTTTATTTCTCTAATTCCTCTCTCCCAATTTTCATAAAAGATGAACAGCGGTTCCTCTTCAGCTCCCTGCAAAAGGTAAGTAATATGTTGATATGTTCATTTGTATGATTAAACTAAGATAGCTATGGTTTTTAAAGTATGTTCAGGTGAAATACTGTTGAGTTAATTCAGATGTATTTAAGTATGATTTTGACAAAATTAATATCAGGACATATTAACCAGAGAATTTTTGTATTATACTTCTGTTATGCACTATGCAAGCCTCCATCTAGATTTGTTATGTACAACCTTAACCTAAAAATTTATCTATATATTTTCCATTATCCTTTGATATCAGGTTAGAAGGGAAAGTGGCAATCATCACCGGCGGAGCAAGCGGGATTGGAGCATCCGCCGTCCAAATTTTCCATGAAAATGGAGCCAAGGTTGTTGTAGCTGATGTACAAGACAATCTCGGCCAAGCCCTTGCTGAAAAGCTAGGGGAAAACGTCTGCTACATCCACTGTGATGTATCAAACGAAGATGACGTTATCAATGTTGTCGACACAGCAGTCGCTAAATTCGGAAAGCTCGATATCATGTACAATAATGCAGGAATCATCGACCGTCCCTTCGGGAGCATTTTGGACACTCCAAAGTCTGATCTAGAACGCGTACTTGCTGTTAACACAATCGGAGGTTTCTTGGGAGCCAAACATGCCGCCAGGGTGATGGTACCTCAACAAAAAGGCTGCATATTATTTACAGCCAGTGCCTGCACTGAAATTGCAGGACTTTGTTCTCCGGCTTATGGGATATCAAAATATGGGATTTTGGCAATAGTTAAAAATTTGGCAGCTGAGCTTGGACAGCATGGTATAAGAGTAAATTGTGTCTCGCCTTATGCGGTGATCACCGGAATCTCGTCTCGTCCAGAGGGTATTGATCCAGCTATTATAGAACAACAATTGAGCCAGATGGGAAATCTAAAAGGGCAGACTCTGAAACCTGAGGGCGTTGCAAATGCAGCACTGTATTTGGCTAGTGATGAAGCAAGTTATGTAAGTGGACAAAACCTCGTTGTTGATGGAGGATTCAGCGTTGTGAATCCTACATTTATGAGGGCCTATAAACTTATCAAGTAATTCTGATGAAGCTTGGAAAAATATTAATAATGCTGATTGAGAGTCAGGAAATAAACCCATCGGTACACTGTAACGTGTATTTATGCTTTTTTCTGTTTTCTTTTTCATATGTAATGTGTTTGCTCTTCATGCATTAATCCATAATGTTCTAATTTTACTCTCCTTTGTGCATAATTGCTTTTTTTTTTTTTTTTCTTTTTAATTGAAGTATTTACATTCAAAATTACAGAGTAACTTTGATTGAAAAAGATATAATTACAAAACGATAAACAAGTTGTCTACACAAAAGTAGGATCGACTGAAAGAATAAAAAAAAGGATTAATTTATATAGTTTAAATTGCCTATGAACACTCAGATATGAATGTCAATAGCAATAAATTAATCCAAAAACTCTTACCAATCTAAGTGAATAAAGAAAAAAGATGTATCCTGAAAAACTTTAGAGATTTGAGTCCGAAGAAGCAAGAAAACAAACTTTGTCATTCAAAATTATCGGCCACAAATACAAGGAGGAATCTCGAATCTAAACAACTGCAGCTTAGCTCAACGGGAAGTGTTGGTCAAAGGTTGAAAAGAGAATTAATCAAAGGCTGAGGGACCAATCAGAATTTCTCCTTCTTCTCTTACAAAGACGATGTCATTTTCTTTATACTTTGTAATTGTAACTCACAACTCTTAGCTCACTCAGCTCACTAGGTACAAATATGAGCTAACTGTGTAAAGAACTATCTATCGCCATAACAAATTTTTTTCTCCAAAAGTGTTCTAGATTTTCTTCTTTCATCCCACTATCTCTCATGGCATCAAAGCCAAAGATGAGCGTCAATGGCAAAGACTCCTGGTAACAATAGCTTCAATATGAGCTCAGAGAAGATGTCTAGTAGCTCAACAAGCATTCATTCTTCAATTTTCTCATCTAGTCTTCAAGTAATAATTAGTCCGAAATTGACAAGAGACAATTACCGAGATAATTATCACTTCTGGAGATCACAAGTTCTCTATGCCATAGGAGCTCATGACCTTGAAAAACACTTAACAGGTCAAATTTGGTGTCTCGAACCTCTTATTTCTTTAGACATTGATGTGTTGAATGAATTGGGTGAAATTTGAATTAAAGAAACCCTAGGTAAAGAAAAAATTAATCCAACTTATCTAGCCCAGAAAAAGACAGATAAGTTTCTTGTCACATAGCTCTTAGCATCAATTTCTGAATGCATGTTTAGTAATGTGTCAATTTCTGAATGCATGTTTTCATTCTGGTTTTACTAACAATGGCCAATAGAGTATCTTTGGTACTGGTCAACAGAGTATGTTTGATACTGGTCCTGTTCCTGGCAATTCCAATTCTGGCATTTTTACTAGTGGATAGAATCCTAGTATTTCTAATGGTGGTCAACAGAATATTGGAATGTCCAGTGGTAGCCAACAACACTTTATCCCTTTAGTAACCATTTTGGATCACATTCTCATCAGGATGGGAACATTATAATACAACAACCAACTCAATAGTTCTCTGATCAGCAGCAATAGTAGCAACATTTATCCTTCCCAACTCAGCAGCAAAGGTCAAGAGTCCCTAGTCAACAACTGCATTCTCCTAACAAAGTTTATTTTGCCTCTCATTCACCCTCACCTCTGTCTCATATGCAGCCACCACATACATCAACCATCACGCCAACTACACCTCTTGATCTAGCATGGTACATGGATACAGGTGCCACTGATCATGTCACACCTGATCGACACCAGTTAACAACCAGTAGGAGCTATAATGGTAATGAACAACTACAAGTGGGCAATGGTGAGTCTCTTTATATCTCTCATATTGGCCTTACTTTGTTACCTAGTTCTTTACAATCCAAATGTGTGTATTTGAAAAATGTACTTTGTGTGCCTAGGATTAAAAAAAATTTACTTAACATTTTAAAACTAACTACAGACAATAAGGTTGTTGTTGAATTTGACTTTGATTGTTGCACTGTTAAGGACAAAGCTACTAGAACAGTGTTGCTCAAGGGAGGACTTAAAGCTGGCTTATATCAGTTGCACATCCCCTCTAGTCTGCCATCCTGCCCTGGTGATTTGATTAACCAATCCAATCCACCTGAATCCTTTGCTACAACTTTAGAACATAAGTCTTTTGCAACAGGTCTTAGTCAGCCTAGTTGTTATAATAAACAGGTCATCAAACCTGAGTAGAATAATTGTACTTCAGTCTCACCTGTATTGAATTCATGTACTTCAAGACTTAGGTGTTCAGAGTATCCTAAAACAAGTCTTAGTAAGTCTAGTGGTTTACATAAATAGGTTATCAAACTTGAGCAGAATAATTGTACTTCAAGCTCATCTGACCTAAACTTGTGTACTTATTTTCTGTCTAATTAAAATACTTAATTTCTATCTCATAAAAATACTCAAAATTTACTTTTATCTTGCTGTGATTCAAATGACACCACCAACAAAACATGCCTGCATCATAATCAATTAACCNGTATCTAGGTGAAATCAACACCCTAGCATTTTTTAGCATTGTTTAATTAGTTAAGTTGTTGGGTTTTGCTTTAATTTCATTATCATTCATTTATATTTTGTTAATTTGTATTTAGTTTGTTAATTTTCCATCAATCCAATTTATTGTTGCTTCAATTAGGACTTAAACTAGAGAAATCGGTACTTAGTAACACTATCCTCGTGGGAACGATACTCACTCATCACTTTATTACTTTGTGCGACTAGTGTACTTGCTATTTATGCATGTTGTAGTTAAAACGCATCAAGTTTTTGGTGCCATTGCCGAGGATTTAGTTTTGTGTTAACATTAAAATTTTCTTGTGTTAGCTAGATTGGAGTGTTATTTTTACTTGATTGTTGTTTGTTTAATTTTCGTTATTCTTTTAGGTTGGTGTGATCTCACTCTTTCTATTTGTCTGTGTAGTTTATGCGAAGAGCAAGACGTCAGCCAGTGGTTCCTGTTGATCCTGAGATTGAAAGAACCACCAGAAGACTAAACAGAGAGAGAAGAGAACAAGAAGCCAGAGTTGAACATGAAGTCATAGTTGTAGAGATGGCAGAGAATATAACACTGAGGGAATTCTCAGTTTCGACAGTTGAAGGCCGTGGGTCAAGTATTACTAGACCAGTGGTACAAGCCAACAACTTCGAGATAAAGTCGGCAATCAGCCAGATGATCCAGCAGTCAGTTCAGTTCAGGGGTGATTTGAAGGAAGATCCAAATCTACACATTACAAATTTTTTGGAGATTTGTGATACTTTCAAGTCAAACGGAGTGTCAGATGATGCAATCAGATTGAGACTATTCCCATTTTCATTGAAGGATAAAGCTAAGGGATGGTTACTAGCACTACCATCAGGAACAATCACCACATGGAATGATTTAGCACAGAAGTTCCTGACCAAATTCTTTCCTCCAGCAAAGTCGGCAAAGTTGAGAAATGATATCACATCATTTATTCAAGAAGAGTCAGAATCATTGTATGAGGCTTGGGAGAGATACAAAGAATTATTGAGAAGGTGTCCACATCATGGGTTACCAGTTTGGATGCAAGTCCAAACATTTTATAATGGATTAACAGTGAATGTGCAAACTATGGTGGATGCAACATCGGGAATAGCACTATAAAATAAGACACCAGAAGAAGCTCATAAGTTTCTTGAAGTTCTAGCAAGCAACAATTATCAAAGACCTAATGAGAGGGTGCAACCAAAGAAATCCATGGGTCTTCATGAAGTTAATGCATATACAGCCATCTCAACCTAATTGACAGCACTTCAAAAACAGTTGGGAAGTATGCAGGTAAATTCCATTTAGGCACCTCAACTAACTTGTGAATTTTGCGCAGGTACTCACGTGAGCAGTAAATATCAAGTAGGGAACACATTTGCCTCAGCATCTTCATCATCGGAGCAGGTTAACTACTTAGCCAGAAATCAAAGGCAACCGAACAATCCGTACTCCAACACATATAATCCTAGTTGGAGGAATCACCCGAACCTGTCTTAGGGCAATCAAAACCAACAGAATCAGCAAAACAATCAATGGAATCAACGGGCATTGCTAAACAACCAAACATGGGTGAACAACCAACAAGGAGAGCAAAGGATGACAAAATTGGAGGATATGTTTGGAAAGTTTATGCAAGAGACCACGAGTTTTATGAATGAGACGAGAACAAATTTCATAAATCAGGGGGCGTCCATTCGAAACTTGGAGGTACAAGTGGGTCAGTTGGCTGACAAGCTGAATGAAAGACCACAGGGCTCACTGTTGAGCAACACATTGACTAACCCACATGAGTAAGCAAATGCAATAACTCTGAGAAGTGGGACAATTTTGAAAAAGGTGGAGCAAACAGGGAACAAAGAAAAGCCACCAAATGAAAAGGAAGAAGCCGATGAGGAAGTAGATGAATAGATCATTGCTGAAGAGATGCCATCTATTTCTAGGGAAGAAGAACAGAAACGGGAAGTGAGGCAAAGACAAAGGAAAGAGAAATTGTCATTTCCCGAGATACCACCAGAATTGGCACATCACACTCCACTTGTGTCGTTTCCTCAAAGGCTAAAGAAAAAGAATCAGAATAAGCAGTTTTCCAAATTCATTGAAATATTTAGAAAATTGCATATTAATATTCCTTTTGCAAATGCATTGCAACAGATGCCAAGCTACACGAAATTTCTCAAGGAGATTTTATCAAACAAAAGGAAGTTAGAGGATGAGGAAACAGTGATGTTCACAGAGGAGTGCATCGCTATTCTCCAGAAGAAGTTACCCCCGAAACTTAAAGAACCAGGGAGTCATGTTTTCCTTAGTCTAGAGCAGCTTTTTCATCTTCTTAGTTTAGATTTGACAAATTTGTGTTGAAAAGTTAGAAGATTTGGGATTGAATCTGGTGGATTCTTCAACTAGGGGAGATCTCTTGTCTTTTGTCTCATTTTAATATGTTGAACTTTGTGTTTATTGTTTTTCTTGATTATTGTATTGATTTAGCTATGAACTAACCCATTTTGGGTTAGGGTTTTGATGTAGTTCGGATTCTCATGGATTGAGCAATTGATTTTTATTATTTTCATATGTTATTGCTTGGATTGTGTGGTTATTCTGAATTTATTGCTTTTAATTGATGAACATGATGAGATTGAGAAATGAGTCATGTTAGGCTTCTTGGGTAATTACCATTGTAGTATTAAATGCTAGAGATAGATTTAAGAATCAATGAAATCAATCTAGGATTCTATGTACTTAATGAGCTTAGATCTATTAATCTTCAAATTATTGGGTGCGGAAGTTTAATAGGAAAAAGTAGGAAAATATAGCCTGAGAAGGTATGTTTTACAATTTAGAGAATTCAATTTACAATCAATGCATGTGAATATGGAAATAGCATAATCTGTAGGTTTAATCCATAGAGTCCAAATGAAGTCAAAACCCTACCCGTTTGTTTAAATTGATATTACCTTGTTTGTAATCTTGCGTTCATAATTTAGCTTTGAATATTTAGAAATTTTTGTTTTAGTTTTAAGTTTAATTTTCTCCCATTAATCCAACCAAATTTGATTGCTCCAACTTGAGAAACACCTAGGAAAGTTAGTGCTTAACAAATCAATCCTTGTGGGAATGATACTCACTCATCACTTTATTACTTTGTGCGACTAGTGCACTTGCTATTTATGCATGTTGTAGTTTCAACGCATCAGCCAACGACACTCTATCCCTCTAGTAACCATTTTGGATCACATTCTCATTAGGATGGGAACACTATAATACAGCAACCAACTCAGCAGTTCTCTAATCAACAACAACAAAAACAACATTTATCGTTCCCAATTCAGCAGCAAGGGTCAAGAGTCCCTAGTCAACAACTACATTCTCCTAACCAAGTTTATTTTGCCTCTCATTCAGCCTCACCTCTGTCTCATATGCAGCCACCACATACACCAACCATCACTCCAACTACACCTTCTAATCCAGCATGGTACATGGATTCAGGTGCCACCGATCATGTCACACCTGATCGACACTAGTTAACAACCAGCAGGAGCTATGATGGTAACGAACAACTACAAGTGGGCAATGGTAAGTCTCTTTATATCTCTCATATTGGCCTTACTTTGTTACCTAGTTCTTTACAATCCAAATGTGTGTATTTGAAAAATGTATTTTGTGTGCCTAGGACTACAAAAAATCTACTTAGCAGACAATAAGGTTGTTGTTGAATTTGACTCTGATTATTGCACTGTTAAGGACAAAGCTACCAGAATAGTGTTGCTCAAGGGAGGACTAAAAGCTGGCTTATATCAGTTGCACATCCCCTCTATCTACCATTCTGCCTTGGTGATTTGATCAACCAATCCAGTCCACCTGAATCCTTTGCTATTACTTTAGAACATAAGTCTTTTGCAACAGATCTTAGTCAGCCTAGTTGTTCTAATAAACAGGTCATCAAACCTGAGCAGAATAATTGTACTTCAGCCTCACTTGTATTGAATTCTTGTACTTCAAGACTTAGGTCTTCAGAGTCTCCTAAAACAAGTCTTAGTAAGTCTAGTGGTTTACATAAACAGGTTATCAAACCTAAGCAGAATAATTGTACTTCAGGCTCATCTGACCTAAACTTGTGTACTTTTTTTCTGTCTAATTAAAATACTCCATTTCTATCTCATAAAAATACTCAAAATTTACTTTTATCTTGCTGTGATTCAAATGACACCACCAACAAAACATGCTTGCATCATAATCAATTAACCACTACTTTCATGAGTCCAGATCAAGACAAAAATGCATCATATGCACTTCAAGTCAGTAATAGCAAAGAGAATAAGTTGTCTCTCTGGCATAATAGATTATGCTATCCACACACTGATGCCCTTCAAAAAATCCTGACTCATCTTCATAAAATCGCCACTGAATTAGTTACAACCGAGTATCTATCCTCTTTACCTTTTTGTGATGCCCACAAATTAGGCAAGCTACACAGAAACCATTTTCCTTTATCACAATCTAGAGCAACAAAGCCTTTAGAGATTGTTCATAATGATGTTTGAGGACTAACCCCAATTATCTCCTTAGAAGGTTATAGGTATTACATTCACTTTATTGATGACTATAGTTGATTCACATGGTTGTTTCCCTTAAGAACAAAAGCAGAAGTTCAATTTATTTTCATTGAGTTCCATCACCTTGTTGAAGACAATTCAATTGCAAGCTCAAAGGCTTGCAATTTGATTAAGAAGGAGAATATAAGGGACAAATTTCTTATCTTACAACCGCAGGCATATAATTTAGACACTCTTGTGCATATGTCCATCAATAAAATGGGGGAAGTGAGAGAAAACACACACATTGTCGAAATTGGTCTTATACTATTAGATCATGCATTCATGCTTTTGCATTTTTGGTGGCTTGCATTCAACACAACTGTTTTTATCATTAACTAAATGCCCACTTCACTGTTGCAATTTGTCTCACCTTATCAAGTTTTATTTTGTAGACCACCAATCTATTCTTCTCTTAAAGTCTTTGGATGCTCATATGTTTTCCTTACTTAAGAGATTCACACAAACATAAGCTCGGTTTCCACTCTTCCAAATGTGTATTTGTTGTTTATAGTTTGATTCACAAAGGTTATAGATGCCTCAATTCTGAAGGAAAAATGTTGTCACTCCTAATGTTCATTTTAATGAATTAAAATTTCATTTTCCCAAAGAGTTTGTCTTACTTCTGATAATCCCAAGCAGTCGTCAATTTCTCCTATCATGTTCACCTATGAAGATATTGTCTCTCCAGTTTCCAGTTTTCCCTATAGTATTGTGCAACCAGCAACTGATTCCAGCAGCAAAAAAGTCTCCTTGAGCAAGACTTGTTCTGCAAGTGATTCTCCTTCAACTTCTTCTTTGCAATATCAGAGTTATTCTGACCATAATCCCTTGTCCAACTTTGATTTATGCAACACAAACCTTTATCACAACACCAATTCTCATCAAAAGTCTTTCCCAACAATAATTCATTCTTCTCCTTCTTGCTCCTAGTCTACTCCAAATTCGATTTCAAACTCTAATTCACACCAACTTTGACATCTTCCAAACTCTCAACCATCTTGTTCCCTTGAAATAGACCTTACCTGCTACAAACCAGATTCATCAGTTCCAACCACACTTAGGTCATCAAAACAGACATCTCACCTAAAATCTAAAGAGCAATTGCCTACTTGTCCACTTGTAGTTGATTTAACATCTTCACATCTCTCCAATCCCTCTACTTCCAATTTACCTTCCACATCAATCACTACCACAAATACTCATCCAATAAAAACCAGATCCAAGTTGTTGTTCCTACAAAAACAACAACTCTAATTGTTTCCAAATCACTCCTCATCCAATCTGAACCTAATTCAATCTCTAAAGCCCTTGATAGTGTTGAGTGGAAAGGTATTATGCAAGAGGAATTTGATGCTCTACTAAGAAAAAACACATGGACACTTGTCCCAAAAGAAGCTGATATGAAAGTGGTTGGTAACAAGTGGGTTTATAGGACCAAATTTCATGCTGATAGATCTCTTCAGAAGTATAAGGCTAAATTAGTTGCAAAAGGGTAAGACTACTTTAAGACATCCAACTCTGTCACTAAGCCTTGTAAAATTAGGATTATTTTCACTCTAGCTATCACTTATGGATGGGATATACCACAAATAGATGTTAATAATGCCATTTTGAATGGCACTTTGAGTGAAACAGTTTATATGAGACAACATGAAAGGTTTGAAATTTTTGCATATCCTTCTTATGTTTGTAAACTCTATAAGGCACTCTATGAGCTTAAGCAAGCACCAAGAGCATGGTTTGACAAACTCAAGCAAGCATTACTCAACAAATGGTTTTGCAATTCAGTTTCAGACTTTAGCCTCTTTATTCTCAAAGAATCTTGTCAAGTGCTCTATGTACACATCTATGTAGATGACATATTGCTCACTGGTTCCAGCAATTCTACAAAACTTCAGTTAGTTCAAGACTTGAATAGCCAGTTTGCCTTAAAGACTCTAGGGTTTGTTACATATTTCCTTGGCTTAGAAGCCACCAAAACTGATGAAGGAATTCACTTAAAGTAGACCAAATATATATCGGATCTTCTTGTTAAAACAAAAAATGTAGGATGCCCATTCTTGTCCTACCCCTATGACTGTTGGAACCAAACTCTTTACTTCTCACAGTGGGCTATTTAAAGACCCTAGCCTTTATAGAAGTACCATAGGAGCACTTCAATATTTGACTTTAACTAGGCCAGATATCAGCTTTACTGTCAATAAATTGAGCCAATTTCTTCAAGCTCCAACTGAGCTTCAATGGAAAGCATGTAAACAAGTATTAAGGTACATCAAAGGCACTCAATTTCATGGTCTTCAATTCAAACCAGCAGCCTCTATGTGTGTTGAAAGTTGTGCTGATGTTGATTGGGGCAGCAACTTAGATGATAGAAGGTTCACAAGTAGCTATTGTGTCTATTTAGGCCCCAACTTGATCCAATAGAGTTCTAGAAAACAAAAAGTGGTTGCTCTTTCATCTACAGAGGCTGAATATAGAGCTTTAGCTCAAACAACTACTGAATTGGCTTGGCTAGAATGTTTGTTCTCTAAATTAGGTGTATAATTAAGCTCTTCTCCTATCATTTGGTGTGACAATATTAGTGCTAGAGCTTTAGCAGCTAATTTTTTCTTTCATGCTTGCACAAAACATATTGAAATTGACACACATTATATAAGAGATCAAGTGTTGGCTAAGAAGGTCACTATGGAGTATGTTCCCTTCAAGCTACAAATAGTTGATATCTTGACCAAGGCACTCTCTATTTCTCAGTTTCAAGAATTAAAGCAAAAACTCACTGTTATTGAAGTCAAGTTACGTGCTCTGTTTGAACTCTCTGTCTGAAGACTAAATGTAGTCCAGATTTGTGAAGATAAGTGCTGAGCAAAGTTGTGTAATGGTGTAATCAGAATTGTGTACAGATGTGGTATATGCAGGTTTTCAATTGAGAGATGCAGTTTCAGAAGGTGTGCAGAATTGTTTTTTCAAAAGTGCATTGAGCAGGATTATGTTTTTCAGTTGAGAATTGTGTAAAGATGCAATTTCAGAAGGTATGCAGAATTGTATTTTCAGAAGTACATTGTGTAGGATTATGTTTTTCAGTTGAGAATTGTGTAAAGATGCAGTTTCAGAAGTTGTGCAAAACTGTATTTTCAAGAGTGCATTGTGCAAGATTAGGTTTTTCTTCATTATCTTTTTCATAAATGTATAATGATGTGCATAATGGTGTTATCAGGTGGTATGTAGAATTGAGCTTTTAGAAGTGCATAATGTAATTGTGAGAAAGTTATCTAATAAAAGCTATTTTGCTTGCATTAATTTTGCAGCTCGACTCAAGATATTGTTTGAATCAGATATAAGGGTAACTGATATTTTCAGTTCAAGTTGATTTTCAGTTCTTTAATTGATCAGTTTATTGGTTAAATAATTGTATTGATAAATTCTACTGAAGAAGCTTTTACTAAAGAAGTTCTTGAGTAGTTGAAGAAATACTCTACTGAAGAAGAAGTTCTCTAGTGAAGAAATTGAAATCTTAAGTCAAGTAGGCAAGATTGAAGTTGGCTAAGAGCAATCTAGTTTACGAGGGCATATTGGCCACAAATACAAGGAGGAATCTTGAAGCTAAACAACCGCAGCTTAGCTTAAGGGGTAGTGTTGGTCAAAGGTTGAAAAGAGCATTAATCAAAGGTTGAGGGACCAATCTGTAATTTCTCCTTCTTCTCTTACAAAGACGATGTTGTTTTCTTTATACTTTGTAATTGTAACTCTCGATTCTCAACTCACTAAGTACAAATATGAACTAATTGTGTAAAGAACAATCTATTGCAATAATAGATTTTTTTTTTCCAAAAGTGTTCTAGATTTTCTTCTTTCTTCCAACTGTCTCTCATAATAACAATATTTTCCTCGTGTCTATCTTTCAAAAATTAGTCATTCTTTTTCTTTCCAAATTACCATAAAAGTAGCTAAACATAGCATAACTAATTGACCTTTATCTATCAATTTTATCACAAGCAAAAGTATTACTAATATTAATTATAAGATGAACTTGTGCAGTTTTCTCTCTCTCTCTCTCTCTCTCTCTAAATGAACTTGGTTTCAAATTGTTCAGGGAAAAAAAAGATTAAAACTAGTACGATAATGTTCTAGAAAACTCAAAATTTCCAACTAAAAAGTACATTCATTTTCACATTAGTTTCTTTTATCGTGTGCATTAAGGTCAATATATATCTACCATATAATGTAAATTCATTTTTACTTTGAAGAAAGTTTCTTAGGAGTTGCAAAGTAAACAGAAAGGTAGCAATAAGTTTCACATTAAAAGTTAGTGTGATGTGATATATGTCAAAATGTGATAAAGAGGCAAGAGTGGTAGAGACTAAAAGGAGATGCCTGAGTATGCCAAGAGAGAAAGAAAATGAGAAGAATATTTATTGTATTCTATATTATGTTTCTTACATGTATTATGTCCAATTTATACAAAATATGTAAGTTCAAGAATGAAAAATACCTTATAATGAATGTGCAATTACAGAAACTCAAGAAATTGATAATTGGAGTAAAGGCACAATCTCTGCGTGATCAATCAGGGCATGATTTCAGCACAAGAATCACTCATATGATTGCTGCATTCCATCACTCCCCCTTAAGCTTGTGGTTTGTATATGTCATAAACTCTAAGCTTGTGAAGCATATATGATCGTTGTCTACTGCATAATAGTTTTGTAAAGATATCCACTGGTTGTTCTGAAGTACTAATATGTAGAGTCTTGATTATCCCTTCCTAAATTTTCCCTCTAAAGAAGTGACAATCAATCTTTTTATGTTTTGTTCTCTCATGAAACATTGGACTTGTTTTAATATCATTTGCAGCTTTGTTATCACAGTATAAGTGAACCGGTCTTTTTACTTGTACCTTCAAATCTCCTAGTAGCCCTAGAATCGAGGTAATCTCACATGCAGTTTTGGCCACGGCTCTATATTCAACCTCTGTTGATGAAAGTGATATTGTCAATTGTATTTTTGTTTTCCAAGAGATTCATGTTCCACCAAGTTTTATACAAAACCCAGTGAGAGTTGTCATTGGACATGTGGTCCAATTAGAATCACAGAATGCGGTGATATCTAGACCTCCCTCTTGAGGTAAAAGGAGTCCAAGACTAGGACAACCTTTCAAGTATTTAAGAACCTTCATTTTAAACATCCATGTGAGATTGTTTCAGCCCATGCATAAATTGACTAAGAATATGAACTGCATAACTGATGTATGGTCATGTCATAGTGAGGTAAATGAGACGCCCTACGAGTCTTTGATAATGTGAAGGATCCTCCAGCTAGTGGTGGATTATTTTCTGAAGCCTCATTATCATACTTTTGAGTGGTGATCTTGGTATTTTGTTTGACAAGAATAGCACTTGGTTTCCATACTGATAGCCCAGAATCTGATACAAGTTCTAGGACATACTTATGTTGACTCAGTGAGACACCTACCGAAGATCAAGCAATTTCAATTCCCAGAAAATATTTTGGCTCTCCTAGATCCTTTATTCGGAAATGCTTATTGAGATGACCCTTCAAGGTCTTGATGGCCTTTTCATTGTTTCTTGTGATTACGATATCATCGACATAAATGATGAGGGCAATGAATGAGCTACCTTTGCACCAAAAGAATATGGCGTAGTCATGTTTGGATTGGACAAAACCTATGCCTGTAAGTGCTTCTGTGAATTTCTCATTCCATTGTCAAGATGCTTGTTTTAGACCATAGAGGGATTTCCGCAGACGATGTATTTTATTCTCCCCTGTCTGCAAAGACTAGGAGGAAGATCCATATATATTTCTTCATGGAGATCACCATGGAGAAAGGCGTTATTAACATCCATTTAATGAAGTGACCAGTCTCGAACAGATGCCACTAAAAGGAATGCTCACATAATAACATGTTTGGCGATAGGTGAAAATGTCTCTTGATAATCAAAACCTTCCCGTTGAGTGAAGCCCTTTGCGATTAATCTAGCTTTGTAGTGTTCAATCGAACCATCAGCATGGTGTTTGATTTTGTAGACTAATTTGCAACCAATGGGTTTACAGTGCGGTGGTTGAGGTACCAAGTCCCAGGTATGAATATGAGCTAGAGTAGTAAGTTCATCTACCATAGCTTGTTGCCCGTGAGTGTTTTGGACAGCATCAGAATAATTGGTGGGTTCATGGTCGGCAGAAATCTGGTAGACATAGACTCTGTGTGCAGGAGGGAGACGATCATAACTCACATAGTTTGAGGTGGGATAAGGGGTACCTGATGAAGCCAATAAGGTGGGACAAATGTAGTTTGATGTCCAGATCGGTGGTCAAGTCCTATGGGTGGATCATCGTTGAGGAGGTGCTAGAGGTTGTACAGGAGATTCTGAAGGAGGTATTAATGGAGTGTTAGTCGACTAAGGGGACTTTGCTTGTGGAATAGGAGAAACAGGACTATAAGGTGGTAGCAAATCTTGTGATGGTAAAGGAAGGATAAGTTGGGAAATCATCCTCCAAGAATATAGGCGGCTACTCAGAAGAACTCCAACTATCACCAGTCTTGATAAAAGGAAAATTGAGTATCTGTTTGCCTTCGCAGGGACAGAAGAGAATTAGAAGTGCGGAAGCTAGAAAAGCTCTGACACCATATTAGAATGTGACAAAAAGGCAAGAGTGGTAGAGACTAAAAGGAAATGCCAAAGTATGCCAAGAGAGAAAGAAAACGAGAAGAATACTGTAATTTGTATTATGTTTCTTACATGTATTCTATCCAATTGATACAAAATATGGAAGTACAAGAATGGAAAATATCTTATAATGAATGCACAACTACACAAAGTCAGGAAACTAATAACTGGAGTCAAGGTACAATCTCAGCGTGATCAATCAGGACATGATTTAAGCATAAGAATCACTCGTGATTACTGCATTCCCCCACTAGTGGACTGTCTAATAATCCATTTAGAATGCGATAGTTTTATTTGAGCTCTCAATTTTTTGATGTGAACTGTAAATTTATCTAAATTCAGGTGATTCAACATTTACTTTTTTATTTTCTTCAACTTATATATATATATATATCTATAATATTATAATATATAGTTTTTATTCTTATTATATAGAGTGATGCTATATTGTCCCCCACATTTTATTTTTCTAGATCCCAATTTTAAGTTTGTAAACATGTGTCAATATGTTTATACTAACCTCATCTATTCCAAAATTACCAATTCGTTTATATTTTCACTACCCCGTATTATACATTTCTATTCCATATTTTTTTATATACTTTTCATTTTTTTTTTTTTTTTAAGGTTAATATCATCAAATGTCTTTTAAAATTTATTCAACCACTGAATTTTTTTTTTTTTTTTTTTAAATTTTGGAGAAGTGCGGACGAAGAAAAAGTTAAAGAAAAACTAAAAAGGAATATAATAAAGCAAGTATGCCATCTCCATTGTTTGACAATAAAATTAGGGTTTATGATTACAAGAGAAAATAAAAATTTTAAATTAATAACATAAGGATTTTTCATGGGTGGAGTGTACGTATAACTCTTTTATATATGTCTTATTTAGTAATTTTTATAAGGGATAAAATTGTGATTAAACAACTAATAAGTGAGATCTAAAGAAATAAGATGTGGAGGCCAATAGCATCACTTTAAAATTATTAGAAGGCAAAAATCCAAAAAAAAAATTATTTTTATCTTAATACAAAAGTTTAACCCAGAAACCAAGAGTGGTCTATGTTCCTTTCCATTTCCTCTTCATCAAACAGCCAAGGAGCAGAAGCTGGAATCGTGATTTTACTTTACCGTGAAGAAAATCATGAGTTACCTTTTTCCGAAATCATGGTTAAAAAACTCTATAAATAAATTAAAATCTAAAATTTGAAGTCTTTTATTTCTATTTTAGATTTTGGATAAGAAAATTTTCTTTTCAAGAAAAGAAAAAGTGGGCCGCCAACCTCAAATCAAGACACTTTCCTAGCTTAATTGCCTCTTTTGGCCGAATTCGCCACCCTCCATAACTCAGGCCTGATTTGGGCTGTTCTTGTCACCGTTGGCCTTCCCTGACCCCACCACTGGCATCCCCACCCTCCATTGACCAAAACCTCCAAGGTTCTTGCCTGTCTCCTTGCACCGATCGCCAGCTACCGTTACGTTAGGGTTTTGGATTTCTCAGCCGAATTTCAACCGATTTCGATAGTCAAAACTCCCCCCGCCACCACCCACTGGCATCATTGGCACCTACTCTTTAAAACCCCCATGACTCCACCTCCTAGCAACTCGTCGATCGACGTCCACGACAGCATTGTCTGTCGCCGCATTTGGATTGTTTTTCTTAGTTGTTTTGGCTTCGATTTGACTAGACTTTGGTTTGATTTGGATTTCTGAATTATTGGTGATTGATTGTGGTTGATTTTTTGGGCTGATCTCCTTGCTAGCGATTGTCTTTTGCTTCACCCCTGCCAGTGGATTGATGGTTGATTTGTTGGAGTGGATTTGTTTGTTTGGGATTTTTGGAGTTGATTTTCGAAGTGTTGGGTTTGTCGTTCGGCGATAGTGGTTAGGTGGTGGTGGCAGTGGCAGTGGATAGGTGGTTGGAGATGGGGAGGATGTGAAGGTTGAAGAAGAGGGTTATTGAAATAAATTTGAAAGTAAGATGGTTATTTTTCTAATTCTGTTAATTTAGGGGTTAAAACGTTATTTTTTTATTTTTTTTTATTTTTTGTCAAGAATAATATAGTAATAACATCATTTGTATGTGTCAAAACCTAAAAATCGCTAACTATGTTGGTTTAAGAGTGGAATTCGGAATTTATGAAATGCAGCTAGAAACTTGCCATTTCGCTAGTCTGAGCGTGAATATGTCGTTTACTCTACATTTACAAAGTGTGTATAAAAAAACTTACATACAAAATTACGTAGCATAATATGATTGGATGAAGTCATATAAAAAGTCAATGTAATAAATAAATAATAATTGAGATTGAATGACATGACAATATAAGAATAAAACGGGGACAATTTGTATAAAACACTTTATATACATACTATTACTCATTTGAATATTAAATGTGTTTCATGCATTTGTAAAAAAAACTTAATTATTCCACATTTCGTATTCGTAATATTACTCATATTAGATGTGTTTCATGCGTGTGTAAGTTTCACATTTTATTGCTATTAATTATTAAATTATTTTTTCTTTGCATTAAGTCAAATATACGATAAAGCAAGTAAATTAATCAAAGTTTTAAGTTCCTTGTTTTTACTGTCATGAAGGTTTCCTAGTAAAATGAATTGCAGATTCAACACATTACACATGGTAGCAATAAGTTAGTGATTTCCAAATTCCATTTAAACTTACCATTGGGCTTGCTAAAATTCCATTTAAAATAACATTGTGAGTGCTATCTTTCAAAACAATAATATCATCCAAATTTTATCTTTCACATTGGCAGTGATAATAGACAACAGAGAAAGGCAACTATCACCATGGTATCTCCGATGCGATACTCTTAATCAATGTATGCATGTTATATAACTATTATATTTAATAACTATTAATTATATTTAATATAAAAATAGATTTTTTTTTTTTTAATTTTTTTAATACCTCTATGGAATCGAAATTTTTTTTCTTCGTAAAGAAGTTTTCATCAAAAGTAGGGGACTCAACCATTGGTGTTTTGAGCACTAACTATGAATAGAGACAAATTAGAATACCATAGTAGTACCACTTCAATAAATTGAGCTGGTACCGCAGGCCACAAGAAAATTGATAATTTACTAAATTACATGGCACAAGGACTAACTTAAAATGAATGATTAAATCGAAAATAATCATATATCCAAACTAAAGAAAGCATATGATGCTGAAACAACTTTTTTTCGATTTGAGTTTCAGCTGAATTTTTGGCAAAAGAACCGGAAAACAAAGACGAAATTGTAAGTAGATCGAAAAGTTTGAAAACGAAGATTTAAGTGGCTGGGTGGCTTCGTCGCTGGCGACGAGGAGTGGTCGCATGAACCCCGCACGCTGGTAGCTCAGACAATGGCCTAAGTGGTTGGACTTCACGGCTTGACGCCAACGACCTAGGGCAGGTGGCCTTCACTACCTACTTCACCAGCCACCACTAAATCCACCAAATCCCTCCTACCATAATCCAACACAACCATGGCAACAACCATAACTTCAACAATCACCACCACGAACCAAAAACTATCTGTACAACACGACAAGATAAACAAGAATTGTTTTGTTTCAAATTTGTTTTTTAATTACTTGAATTTATTGGATAACAACAGTTGCTTTAGTTCAACTTTGTTTTTCAATTATTTATATTTTTGTTAGAATTAATTATACTTAATGCGATGAAACCTTGCAAATTGACGATGGTAATAATGGATGGACAGTAAGGGTGTGGAAATCCAATTAATCGAACTAAATTATCCATTTTTTAAATCGAACTGGTTTTTCGGTTTAAGGGATAATCTGAATTGAGATTGGACCGAATTATCTCTTGAGCCGGTTTTTGGCCGAACCGAAGTATCGGTTTGGTTACCAATTAACTGATTTGTGAACATGTTTTTTTTTTTTAAAAAAAAAATCCCTAAATCTAATTCTAAAAATAATTTTTTCCAACTCACCAACCGAAGTTTAAATCAATTTTTCCCAACATCCACATTCAAATCCGCCCATAAGGCCATAACTTTCATATCTAAAACAAATCATATCCAAACACATCTAAAACAAATCAAAGCAATTAAGAAAAGCCTTCCTCTTCAGCTTCTTAGCCTTTGTAAGGTGCTTGTATAAAGTAGGGTGCTCTAATCTCGTTGGGGTGTTATCTCCCATTGGGGATTCAATAATAGGGCGTTTTCAGGTTATTTTTAGAATCGGTTTCCCAGTTTTGTTCGGTTTACATATTATTTTTCATGACCCTAATGGAGAGAAGGAAAGAATGGCAAGTGAGTGGTGAGAGAGATTAATTTTAAGTTTTAAATTTTGAATTATAAAATCAAGATTAAATAGAATTTTTAATAAAATTGACACATGTCAAACGTTTATAGAGTTTATATTTACTGTTTAAATGAATTAGAAGGGGAGGAGACGGTTGGAGTAAATTCATGAGAATCTTTCATTTATTTACAAAGGCACATGATATTCATTTATTATTGTACCAACGTTTGGTAACGGCCATTGACTTTATGAATTATGGCTCCATGTGGTTATTGGTCCTTTTTAAAATAGTATTTTGAAAAAAAATAAAATTAAGTTAAGATGTGTTATCTTTATAAAAAAGATAATTATTAATGTTTTGAATTAAATAAAATAAAATTTAATTTTGAGAATATTGAAACGAACATAATTTTTAGTTTTTAGGATAAAATAATAGAATATGATAAGGTAAAAATAGTGAACCAAAGGGGTCTACAATATCTGAACTTTACAATTAATATAAATAATTGATGAAAAATTATGATGGATAATGCAACTGATGGGTTTGAGGCGAAGTATTGAAGGGGTGAAAAAGGAAGAAAATGGCGAGAAGGGTTTTTGCTGGAAATTCTTTTAAATTCTGGTTACTTTTTAATTCAACCCTCAAATATAATTTTTCAAGTAAGTTTTTCTTCTTTCATTTGAACTTTTGGAAGATAAATATATTGGATAAGTAAAATTGAAAAATAAATTAAAGAGATAATTTTACATAGCGGTTTTTACTTTGTATAGAAAAATTTGCATGCATTTATATTTTATAGTAATATTACTCATTTAATTTATAGAGAATTTATAAAAATCCATAATTGAACTTGTAATGTTATCTATACTGGTGGTGAACAAAAATTTTTGACGTACTTATAAATGTAAAATCAGTTTTTTTCTTTTTGTAATTAAAAAATTTTCTGTTGCCAAGACTTGAACCCGAGTCTCTCAGGTGAGAGCTGAGTATCCTAACCATCTGAACTACAACAAACTCCAATATAAAGCCACTCTTGTTAAATACTTCTCTTCTACAAAATAAATATAAGAAATTTTATTTTTATTATAAATTATAAAATACCAAGAATTGCATAACATTATCAATATTCAATATACTTCTTCTTTTCTTGCCATGAGTTGCAACAGTAAAGGACAACATTTTTTTATTTGGGCCAGGTTATTGATATCGAAATGGACTTAGGATGAGTTTGATGAGCCAATTTCCAGAACAGAATGGCCCGCCCAATTCCTCTTGGACACCAGCTTCAACTTCAGCTGACACGTAATAGAGGGACAAGATTAACTCTTGAACATATTTCAAACAAACTTGATTGAAAAGTTAATCAGACCCACCATGAGTTCTTGCCTGTTTGATTATGTTGTTGATACTCATGAAATGGAAAATCAAAGATGCTTGGAGTTAGTCCAAGTGTGGGCTCTTTGAAGTCATTTAAAATTATTGGCCGGCAACTTTAAGTCAGTCGATATTTTCAATAGAGACAGAAGCCGAGCTGGGAACTACTAATATTGGCTAAATGTAGATTGGATATTTTCTATACAGTTAAAAATTGATATTGTCAACGAAGTTTGATTCCATTTGGGTTAACCATCCATAGGACTCTTTAATTGTTCCATAAATTTCAAGGTCAAGTAAAATAAATGCTTATATAAATTAGACATCTAATCACTTGCCCAACAACATGGTCCAAGAGACATCTCCAACATGAATAGGTATTCTCTCAAAAGCTAATGCATTAATTCATTCAAATTGAGCTTAAGCGTTTTTTAGTTTACATAAGCACTTGATATTCATTATATTACTTCCTTTGACAAAATTTCCCCCCCTTTATTGCTTTAAGAAAAAAAAAAAAAGACGTAAAATTAATTGGTTTAACTTTATCAGGTTAGAAGGAAAGGTGGTAATTATCACTGGCGGTGCCCACGGACTAGGAGCAACGACGGTGCGCCTCTTCCACCAACATGGAGCCAAAGTTGTCATTGCCGACATCCAAGATCACCTTGGCCAGGCCATTACTAAAGAGCTTGGAGAAAATGTTTGCTACATCCATTGTGATGTAACAAATGAAGACGACATCTCCAACCTTGTGGACACCACCATTGCGAAATATGGAAAGCTCGACATCATGTTCAGCAATGCAGGCGTCGTGGACCGTCCATCCGGCAGCATCCTGGACACTCCGAATTCTGATCTTGAACGAGTTATTAATGTCAACACCATTGGAGCGTTTCTTGCAGCGAAACACGCAGCAAGAGTTATGGCGCCGCAACGCAAAGGCTGCATAATTTTCACTGCAAGTCTTTCGACTCCGGCTTGTACATCGATTGCAGGTCTTTCGACTCCGGCTTGTACATCGATTGCAGGTCTTTCGACTCCGGCTTATGCAGTATCGAAATATGGGATATTGGGGCTGGCGAAGAGCTTGGCAGCTGAACTGGGAGGGTGTGGGATAAGGGTAAATTGTGTTTCACCTTATGCGGTTATGAATAGCATTCAAGGTCTCAGTGAAGTAGAAGTAGCAAAAGGTGAAGCGATAATGAGTGCAATAGGGAATCTCAAGGGGCAAGTCCTCCGAGCTGAGGGTGTGGCTCAGGCTGCGCTGTATTTGGCTAGTGATGAAGCAAATTATGTAAGTGGGTTGAATCTTGTTGTGGATGGTGGTTTCAGCATTGTGAATCCCACCCTGATAATGGCTCGTGACATTTGATCTTTACCAATTGTTCTCTTAATTATGCAATATAAGAGCTCTCATCACTAACTCAACAGAGTAAAAGAATTTATCCATCCTTCATCTGTCACATTCTTATTGAGCACAATAAGTGGATGAGTGCTTTGTATTTAATATAGGCAATAGTTTCTTTTCTCGAGAATAAATTCTTACATGAAATTCCCAAGATGTGTTATAGGGGAAAAAATTTCTTAATTGTCGGTACCAAAAATAAAGGATTGGGGTGTTTGTCTAAGCTCATAGCTGGTCAAACTAGCTATTAAGCTTAAAATTAAGCTGACCTGTTTGTTTATTACTTTTTTAAGTTATAGTTGAGCTTATAAGCTAAAAAAAATAAGTTGGGGGGGGGGAGGTACTTTTTTTTTTTTGGTTGTAAGCACTGCTTATAAGCAGTTTGACCAAGTATATTACCACAATATCCTTGTTTATTTTTAAAAATTTCTTAGTATACCATGTTTTAATGTAGTACATTTTTAGTCATTTTATAGTAAAAATATTTATAAGCTACATTTTACAAATACATCAACTACTTATCAGTCACTTATAAGTATTTTAACCAAACACGTAATTGCTTAAAATTTCAAATACTTATAAGCTAAAATTAGCTTATAAGCACTTGACTTATAAGCTAATTTTCATAAGCTCAGACAAACAACCCCTTAGTAGAAGAGAGTTGCAATACGAACTCGGTGTCGTTATGTGAATAAAAAATGGTTCGGTGGTATGTTGACAAATTGGTCCACGCATGAACAAGACTCAAAAGTTAAGGGATCTGAGAACGGAACAAGAAAGAGGCAGACTCAACCGTCTTTTCACAAGAAGATGCAGCTAGTTTGAAAAGAAAATTATCACGCTTGCGAACGTATCTGAACAGGATTAATGTGCGACTTAGTGATACAAACATGAATTTATTCTACACCAACTTTGAAAGAAAGGCAAAATTCTTAATGATAAATACAATCAAGAATCTGGATACTGAAACATCCCAAGTGTGGGATTGACAGTAGTAAAGCCCCGTCTATAAAAAGATTTGTCCATCACATACTTGGCCTCATCACTTGATAGTAAACAGCTGCATTTGCGAAATCTTCTGCTTAAGTTTCACACCCTTCAGGACACCAAGCGAATGCATTAGATTCTCAAGCTCCTCATCGCTAAGCCCCACAAATTTTGTGGCCAAAGGCGTTGCAAGAGCATAGGGCGACAAGCAATTCACTCTAATGCCGAACTGGTCCAAGCTCAACGGCAGCATTTCTCGTTAGCCCCAACACGGCAGTTTTGAAGCACAATAGCATGCGAGGCAGCGGCCGCAACTTTTGAGCTTACGCTCGCAGTTGAAAGGATGCTGCCGAGACGACTGAATCATGACACGAGCTGCATGTTTGATGCCAAGGAAAACTCCGGTGACATTACCCTAAGGACACGCTCAAAATCTGCTTTTCATGTCGATTAGGCGTGGTTTGTTTTCATCGGCTATGCCGGCGTTGTTGAACATTACGTCTAGTTTACCAGAGTTGAAACGGTTTGGTCAATGGCGTTTTTTATTGGGATTCGTCGGTTACGTCGCAATGGACATAAGAAGAGTTTGATGAGCCGATGGGTCGACTACTGAATGGCCAAGTTGATCTTGGTATCGGAATTACAACTTTGGCTCCATGCTTGGCAAAGAGTTTAGCTGTGCATTCACCAATGCCACTGGCTCCTCCTGTGACATGGCCACTTTCCCCTCTAGTCTACACAACACAAATTTTAGATTTATTATGAAAAAACATAAATCCGTTTAGGGAGTACTCTTGGTTAGAAATTATTTCCCAAAATGTACTTTGGATCTGAAACAGAGTAACTATCGAGCACAGAATTACTAGATTAAAATAAAATAAAATAAAAAACTGTTTAAAGTGAAAAATTCTAATATACCAGCTGAGAAAGTCAAGATCAGAACGAATTTCATGAAAAATGAAATTTTATTGAGGCCTAGGTCACCATCAGACATCAGATTGCAGATTTTTGGAGAACATGCTGCCTAAATGAATCGATAAATATTGGAAAATCACTGGAATTTGTGTCAATACTGTACACCACTTTAACTCACTTTTTCTTGGATAGAAATTATTTCCCAAAATGATACTTTGGATCTGAAACGCAGTACTATCGAGCACAGAATACTAGATTAAATAAAAATAAAATAAAAAACTGTTTAAAGTAGAAAATTCATATACCAGCTGAGAAAGTCAAGATCAGACGAACTTTCATGAAAAATGAAATTTTATGAGGCCTAGGTCACATCAGACATCAGATTGCAGATTTCTGGAGAACATGCTTGCCTATGAATCGATAAATATTGGAAAAATCATGAATTTGTGTCAATACTGTACACTACCTTACTCACTTTTTCTTGGAAGAAAATTATTTAAAAATTTACAACAAATTAAAGAAATTCAAACACTGATATAAAGATATGAGGAGATTAAAACTTGATTTGGGTTGTTTGATTTTCTGACCTCTTGTATTGCAGAGAGAACAGATGTTGTTGCCATCGTCAAGAGGAGAAGGAGACCTTGGAAAGTTGAATGAATTATATTTCCAGTATACCTATTTAAATTTGCAAAGCCAATTCGACGTGAAAGGGGGTATTTTATAATATTATAAAGCAGCAGATGCTCAAAATTTGGTATACAGTGGTTGGCTGGCCGAATGCCTGATCTATGTTAAAATGGAACAGCTATAATAATGGCTTTTCATTATCGATAAGTAGAATACTAAATCTTATTGGGGCCAGAACATTATGATAGTTTATATTTATTGTTGTAATGTTTGTATATTAACATTTCAATGCAGACAAAATCACGAGTTTGGAATCACTTGTATTAGGCAAAGGGTATATTTGCAGGATTTAGAGTCATTTCTCACACAACAATTTGATTCCAATATGGGTTAGGGTATCTTTAAGGTAGCTCTTCAAGAGGGTTACTCAGATATTAATTTAACTATTTCAAGCCAAAAGAAAGGGTTATTTAACAATACCTCTTGTGTGATCAACACATGTTGAGGTTCTAATGCCATACACGTGTACAACTAGGAGTCTAGTGGAATATTGTATTTAAATAGATTGTTGAAAGTTGATATTTTATATTATAAGTCTAAAAAGTGGTGCTTATTGAGAATGGTTCCGCAGCTCTTCTTTTAATGTTAAGAGCGTGTTAAAAGTTGGATTTGGATCTCAATGACCCTGCTTTCTCCTTCGTTGATTGCAAAGTTCAAAGTCTCCTCTGAGAGGTTTCTATTAAAGTCTTTGAACTTTATGACAAAGTTGAAATTAATTATATATATATATATATATATATATAGATATATATATATATTATGGCTTCTTTAAGTTGCTTATGGTTCTAATTTATGTGCGTGCGGGGATTACCTTCCCTCAGATATTGGCTCCTTTAAGTTTTGAGTATGTTTATATTTTCTGTTTTATGTTTTAAATTTTATTTTATGTTTAATGTGTGGGTTTTGAGCTATCGTTATCATTTGAGGTGATATTACACATTCAAGAGGTTGAACTTGTGCACATAGAATCTTTTTCAGCTTTATCTACGTTTACTGCTCCCATAAATACTAGCTTATCTAGATCTTCTTCTAAAGTAGATAGTTTGTATGAAATATCTTATATCCTAGAAAATAAAAAAATCCAAGATACTATCCCTCCCATTGTAAATCCTTATACAGTCTTTTCCAAGTCTTCGTCTTCTTTGTCTAAAATCTTTAAGACTGTTGTCAGACCTTCCAAAAAGTTAGTCAAAGAGTATATCCAGACTAGTACTTTTGACAAGTGTCAAATTCCAGCCACAACCCAAGAACAATATGTCACTTTGGAAATCCCTCAAGAATCCATTACTCAATGGATTCACGAAGGATACTCGCATGTACACTTTGGAGCTATCCGGCTGGCTCTGTCTTATCATGGTAGAAAAGGACTTTCAGTCTCTGTCTGAATCGCTTTGTTGGACACCAGATTTGTCCAATATCAACATGCTTGTATAGGGACGGCATAGACAACTTTGAATGCTAGGACAATCATTATGACACTGTTTCCTAATTTCAATATGTCTCTTTTGGATGTTCATTGCTTCAAAGCTCTTAAAGTTCAATTACAGATCATTGGTACATATTTAAATCCAGGAAGTATTACAGCTACTTTGCATTATCAGATGGTTTGGCGAATCCAAGACCATGCTCTTGATCTCACTATCCCTACGACTACTGATGCATTACTCCTTATTGTTGACTCTCAGAATACTCCTCACTGCATCAATATTCCTAGGCAAATTTCCGGAGAGGATTTGATTAAATTGTTACCCGACTCTTGGGTGACAAGTTATGAGTCTCTTAATAAAAAAGAAACTCTGGTGGTTTCTACAGAATCTACCATGCATGATAACAGTGATGGAACAACAACTATCAGATTTAAGTCTCCAGCAACTCCCAATGCTCCACCTTTGAGTTTCGACAAACTCAATTCATGATTACTCCAGTCTTACCAGCTACAGTAGTACAGGAACCTGGACTTTCCATTCATTGATTTCAACAATCTGGTGCTCCAGTCTATCATCAATTTGATCTAGTCTCTGGTCACACTCCATTTGATCTTGACTACCAATGCTCGGCTTTGGGAAATAGATGAGCATTTTCTTTCCAGACGAAATTATTTCAGATGGAAAAAACAGACAGCTTAGTGCAGTAAAAAGGATCTTCACTCCAAATTGAAGACTATGACCCTGAAGTTGGCCTTCTTGGTCAACCATCTGGTAAATTTGACTATTATGTCAAATATTCTCCTACAGCTAGGACAGATCCACCATCCATTAATCCTTCTTGGGAAATCCCTCCAAAACCTAAACCCAAATCACCTTTAAAACTATTCAAATCTACTAAATCACCTTACTTTAAACAACCTTTGCCATGTTATCAGCAGGCTCTCCAGT